CATCACCACCTGCCAGAACTCACTTCCCCAGCCTCGGCAGACAGAGCCTGGCCTCGGGCTGGCCTGGGGCTACCCACAGTCCTATCAAGTGGCCACATGGTGCAGACGCCAAAGAGGCTGATGAGGATGTAAAAATTATCAACAGAGAACATAGTCCTGTTTGGCATAGCAAGAAGGTCATCCCCTTGGAGGTACAGATGCCGAGGCTTAAACGATACAGCCAACAGCCACCCTGCCATCAGCACAAGCACCTTGAGAAACCCCAGGGCCCACTGGTGTCCAACCACCAGATGTTGTCAGAAGTTTCTAGACTTGGAGAGTTTAACAAGGGTCTTCCAAAAAAAAGGCAGATAAAACTGGAGCTGGTGAGAAATTAAACAGCCTGAGAGGACATAACATTGAAAGAACTCACGGAGGCCAAGTCACAACAACGTCCCATTTGTCACCAAAGAGGGGGCCCTGGGGCCCCTGGAGAGAGTCAAGTCTGTTATATGGCCACTGACCCCCAGGGCCCATCGGGACTTCAAGAGAAGCAAAAGGAACACGGTGCCATGAACCAGCCCTTCATCCCAGGAAGATGCGCCGTGTCATGGAAAATTCAAAGCCACCCAGGTCCTAGAAGAGCTGGCCAATACAAACCCCAGGGCCCTGTGGACAGTGGTCAGAGCACAGCTGAGAGAACGCAGGCTGAAACGGAGCCAGTGGGGAGGGAGAACTCGGAGATGCCAAAGCAAGAGACGACAACTAACTGAGCAAAGTCCCAGAGAGCAACTAAGCAAAAGTACAGCTAGTGAAAGACCCCCAAGCCCACAAGGCCACATGAGAGAACTGCTGGTGAGGCAGGTAAAGAGTGAGGCAGTGAGGGGGGGTACGTGTAGGCCACGCCCCTCAGTTCTCCCTGGGGAGCAGGCAGGAAAGCATCTGCTGGGACCTCCATACCTATGCTGCAGAGAAATAAAGGACAGATGAGGGTTGCAGGGGGCTCAGGACCAGGGGACAGTGAACCAGCATGACTGTGCATCTGGAAACCTTCTCCTCCAGCACCACGGCAACCAGGAAGGGAGCAGGTGACGGCTGGTCCAAGGTCAGCGCTCAGGAGATGATGGGGAGGGGCCTGGGGCTGCTGACAGAAAGAGGAAGGGAAACCCTGACGTGCCTCGCCAGCAGATCCAAGTGAGCTGGGTGGCCAACGGAATGACTGGAGGAGAGAGAAGCAGTGTGGAGCGGGAGTCTTGGCAAGGTTTAGAGGCAACGGGAGGAAGGAGCTGAACATGACAGCAGTACGTGTCTGAGGACCGAGACGGACCTTCCCACCCCAGAGGCTGACAATGCACATGGGGACAAACTCCACGACCCTCTGCATGCTGTCATAACAACGAATGTGTGTCACGACTTATCTGCCCAAATCCACACATGGACCACAGCTGGAGCGAACGCAGGTACACTATGGTCTCTGGGCAATTATGACGTGTCAAAGCAAGTTCAGCCTTGGTAAAAAAAATCCTCGTGAGTCACACTGATAATGGGGAGAGTCCTGCATGGGGAACAGGGCAGAGGTTTATGGGGAAGTTTTGTATATTCCTCTCAATCTTGCTGTGAAACTAAAAACTTGCTCTAAATAATTTTTTTTTTAATCCCCATCTCTAGCTCTGAGGCACCCAAGCTATTGAAAAGGAGCAGCCTTTGATCATGAAGGTGGAAAGGAAAGTAAAATCCCCAAGAAAATGGCAAGATGCAGTCAAATCAAGGAGAGGTCAAAAAGCAAAGGAAGCGCTTGCAGAACAAGAGGTCCTAGTTCAGAGCACTTGGGGCTGGACTTCAGCAGCGATGCAGGACATGGGTGACAGCGTACATTATCAGGAGGCAGTCAGAGAGAGCCAAGTGGGGGACCTGCTTCAGTGACCCCAAGAGTGCTCGAGGCTGACAGCTGCTCACGCTGTGCTCAGGAGTCAGACGTAAGCCTCTCAGGTAAGCAAGCCAACGTCTCTGCAAGCGGTCCTCCCACCTCCCACTGCAGCAGACAGGAGCCCATCAGGACAAAGAGGCAGAGAGCTCCGTGCACCAGATCCAGAGAGGCAAGAAAAGACCCGGGCCCCATAGCGCACGACAGAAACTGGAGGAGGGGCTTGGTTGGCCCCGAAAACATTGACCGTGTACAGACACAGAAGCAGGAGACAACAGAAGGATAACAAATCATTAAGAAAAAGACAACCCAACAGAAAATGGGCAATGGGCATTCATGGGAAAAACTCACGCTATGAACATGTAAAGAGAGTCTCACCCTCACTGGTAAGTTAAACCTAAAGACAGAAACAGAGAGAACACGAGTGCTGTTCACGGGAACAGAACCATGAAGAACTGACGAGGGAGTGGGAAGGCAGAGCTCTGTGCGGGTGCGTGCAAGTATGCACTCTGGTGACCCATGGGGCAGCACTGTATAAAACTGAACGTGCATGCCCTTCGTCTCAAATACTGCACTTCTGGGAAAACTCTTCAAAGAACTCTCACACAGGTTAGCAAGGACATGTTTGCCAAAGATTTTCACTTTAACATTACATTTGTAGAGTAAAACACGAAAATAACATAAATGTCCATCCACAGTGAGAACATAATTCAAATGTTACACTTTCTTTGATGCAAAATACTTACAAGCGTAAGAAGATTCACACACAACTTGTAAAAATAAACACACCACTAGGTAAGTTACATGTCACACTGTATTACATGTACTATTCATGTACAGACACATGCTTAGATGGATTGGAGAGCTTTGCTCCAGAGAAGACCAAGTCAACCCACCCACCCTCTCGCTGTCTCTGATGCGGCTATAAACTCTGGACAGAATACACGGAGCAGCTAGGTTAGGCCCCGGAAAAGGAAACAGAAGCAGGTGGCTTGTGAAGAAGACCAGAACTGTAAGAACCACCAAACCACCAGTTCGCCACTCAGCACCCAAGCCCAAGGTGGCCCTGACCCACATGGAGCATGCCAGGAGAAGCCCAGGGCTTGGGCTCGAGCAGATGAGGGGCGCAGTGACCAGGCCGGCGGCGGGAGCCCTCGGGTAACACAGACACAGTGGGAAGGGAATCGTCCTCGTTGCCCAAAGGAACTGGGATCCTCTGCACTCCAGCACTTGCCCAGGTGCGGGCACAGGGCAGGAATGTGATACCTCAGGACACAGAGAACCAGCCTTCCAGGGGAAGAATTAAAGAGGGGGTCCTGGGAACAAACAAGCACCAAGACGTCATGGAGAGTTAGGAACTCAGGAATGTGACCCCACAAGGTCGCCTATAGACTCCGGGCCTCACCCCAGGTATGCGTGTGTGGAACTGATCATAAGCAGCATGTCCTAGACTCTGAGAACTAAAATATCACGTCATCCAGGTCTCAGACAGGGACACATGCGAGAGGCAGACCCAACAACACTGCCAAGGCTTCTTAAAAGTGGAACTGATGGGAATGGTTAGGTGATTAGATGGTTAGTGATTTGGTGATCTAGTGGTCAGGATTCAGCCCTTTCACTGCCATGGCCCAGGTTCAATCCCTGGTCAGGGAACTGTGACCCTGCAAGCCACGTAATGTGGCTAAAACCAAAACAACAACAAAAAATGGAACTGACATGAAAGCCATAAACAGAGAAGCATGGTCAGAACTTGTGACCTGACCCCAACCAGGCTGACTGCCTGCTGAAACAAAACATCAACACTTCCCATAAGATTTAAGCAAGACTCAGGACCTCAAAACATAATATTCAAATGTCCAGGATACAACCCAAAAATTACTCAGCCTATAAAGAAACAGGAAAAATCCCAACTCATGTGGAACAAGAGAATCAAAACATACCAAAGCCAAGATGACACAGATATGAGAAGTATCTGACAAAGACTTAAAGAAGCTATTAAATAAAGTGCTCCAAAAAGTAAAAGCAAACACCTGAAATAAATGGTGCAGTAGCAGAATCTGAAAATGGATCAAGGTTTCCTATCCTAATCCCTGCGGCTGACACGTAACACCCTGGTCATGTTAAGCTGGGCTTGCCTGTATCACAACAGTAAAGTGAAGGAGAGGTGGGTTCAATCCCTGGGTTGGAAGATTCCCTGGAAAAAGAAATGGCAACCCACTCCACTATTCTTGCCTGGGAAATCCCATGGACAGAGGAGCCTGGCAGATTCCAAAAGAGTCAGACATGTTACGTTACCTAGTCAAGGCAGTGAGACTCAGCAGATACAAATGAGGTCACTAATAAGCTGGCTCTGAGTTAATCAAAAAGGCATTTATTCAGTTATGCCAAATGTAAACCCACGACCCCACTGCTGTGATCTGAAGATGGGGTGGGGGTCAGGTGATAAGGAATTCAATCACCCCAGAAGCTAAACGTGGCCCCACCTGACAGCCAGCAAGGAGACAGGGACCAGACTCCTGTGAACACAGAAGGAATTGGGTTCCTGGAGGAATTGGGTTCCTCCAGCAACCTGAACACACGTGGAAGCAGACCCCTACCCAGAACCTCTGGAAAGAGACCCAAGCAGACTCCTACCCAGAACCTCTGGAAAGAGACCCAACTGGACCATCCTTGATTTGGGCCTCGTGAGGCCCTGTTGGGACACCAAGCAAGCCCACTCAAATCTCTGACCTACAGACCCTGAAGGAGGTGTTGTTTCAACCACTAAGTACGCAGTAACTTGTTACACACAAACAGAAAGTGAGTCCAGGTTCTGGCCCTTGGAAGTGGGGTGCTGCCACAGCCATCACCTAGTCTAAAGTTCACCCATGACAACATCTGGGACTCACTGATTGCCTTGAGGTGGGAAGATTCCTTTTGCTTGTATTATTTTTCTAAAGCAGTGTCAAATAGTACATCCCTAATTCTCTAGGAAATTTGTTTCTTCTATTTTTTAGAGCTATAGCTAAATTAACTGTTTGCTTGAAAAAGAGGCCCAATCAGCAAATTCTAACTCTTTTGTAAATAGACGTGAACTTTTCAATACTAGCCACCGTACACTTTGAGTTTGGTACACTGTCCGGGCTTCAGGTCCCCCAGAAGCTGCAGTATGGTGTCCAGGAGCACCCGGCTCGAGTTAACCAGGAATTCACGGCCACTGGCTATGGCAGCTACATCTGCAACAGAAAGAGGACACAGGGCGTCAAAATCACCGCTACTTCAAAACCTAGAGAAGTCTGTCCAAGACAGAGGAGTGTTGCTATCTTTCTCCTAACACACCTAATGAACACAGAATAGTTATCCACAGAGCCAACAGCCAGAATAAGGTAACTGAGAAGCATGGCAGTTACTAAGAAGGTGAGCAACGGTCACTGCGATTGGCAAGGGCTGGGCAGTGGAACAGAGCTCTGGGTCTAAACACAGGTGCAGTCTGGCCGCAGCACAGCCAGTGGACACCAGGCTCCAGGACACTGGATAAACAGCTATGAGCGGTCAGGGTCCAAACAGAAGGTAGGGGCTGATGACTTTATCTGGGACCAAGGACACTAAAATACACTTTCAACTCCAGGAGTGAAATCCTGATGACTTTAAACTAGAATACCAAACTGAAATCATGAGGTCAAAAGAGACCAAGACAAAAACTGATTACAAGAAAAAATTTTTTTATAAATTGTACACACCATTGTGGGTCAGCAAGTGTCACCTTTCTTCATGCTTGAGGTCCCACAGAACCAACAAGGATACCAGACCAAGTCATCACCCTGCCTCCCCAGGGACACTGTGGAGCTAACACTGGCTCCATCACACTCCCAGATACCTACAAGGACACGTCAGTACTCCAGAATACTTATGTATGTGCCAGTATGATTTTTCCTTGGCTAGGTCTAACAATAAAGCATGATTCAGAGTGACTGAAATTCCTAACCCACATGAGCCGTTCTGGCTGGAGGAGACACAGGGCAGCAGCACCCCCAGGCTTCTTCTGACCTCACCGGATACACTTCCAGTTAAGTGTGCGCTGTTCACTGGATGGTTCTGGCAAGACCCTCTACAAGTTTAAGGAAGTATTCTTCTATTTTTCGTTTACTAATAACTATCAAGAATGGAGGATAAATTTTATCACTGACTTACTCTGTCTTTGATTAATTGTAATCTAATAGAATATAAATTTCATCTATGCTACCAGGCCAACCCTATGGAACCAGATCCTGGACAATCTTGATCAAAGAAGAATATTAAAGTCTCCTAAACCTAACAGATTTGTTCCCCTTTTTGCTTGGTATTCCAGCAATTTTTGCCTCATAATTGCCTCACGCTATTTAATTTGGGACATAATTTCATGACAGCGATAACTTTACTGAAGACAGGACCCTTCACTGATACAAATGTAATCTTATTTGTTCAATGAATTTGAACCTGATGACTATATTTTTTATCACAGGAAACACTCGAGTTTTACTAAAGAAATACCTGAGGGGAAATGAAGCATTGGGCATCATAAACTCAAAGTCATTTTAAGGAAATTTTTGAAGATGACATTCTTCACATTAAGACTACATACTGGCAGGAAAACACGCATTCTAGCTACATACTTCAGTAGTTTCCAGAGATGACTTGCCAACAAACCATGCCTCTGGTCTGCAGACCATGTGTTGTTCCTAACTTGTGTATGAGCAGCAGAACACAATCCACCTGCTGCACGACTTTCAAGGAAAGATAGAAAGAACCTGGCAGCTTCCACCTCTGTCCCTTGCCAGCTGCTCTAGAAGCCCTGGTTGCTAGGAAGGAAATCTGACTCTTGCTGAGATGCAACTACATTCAAGTATACCATGGAGAGGCCCGAGACTCCACAAGGAGAGGAGGAGTTCTGCTCACCCCCAGCTGTTGTACCCACAGCAATGTGAGCCAGCCCAGCTGAGGTCCCAGACAGAGCAGAGCAGCAGCAGATCCTCCTTGCCCAGTCCAGAGCAAACTGCAAGTTCCCGAGAGAAATAAATGACTGCTATTGTTTAATGACAAGGTTTGGGGGCAGTTTGTTACACAGCAACAGATAACAGAAACATCACTAATATGTCAGTGAAGAAAAAAGTTACAGAGCAAAATGTACATTGTACCAGAGAAGCAACACCACTCAACAAGACACAGCAACCTTACTGGTGAGTGAGGTCCCTTCCCACGTATCCAGTACTGTTAGGGTGAAGGCCAATCCTCCCTTTCACTAAGCATCGATGAAGGAGCAACTATGAAGTAAAATAAATGTCAACAAAGTCCTACACTGACAGCTCCGGTAATTATCAGTCTATCTGGGATACTTATGAGTTGGCCCTAGGACTGTGAAGGATTGCTGGTTTAATTTTCTGTTAAACTGCACATTTTTTCTTCTCTAGGTTCATTTTTCTTCAAAGTTTATAGGTATTTCTAGAAGTTACCATAGTAATTGTATAATTTAAGAAATGAAACTAGTGTGAATTATATATGCTGACTAAAAAATATAAAATGTTGAGGGGTATTATGTCTGATACTTTTGCTTTACCTTGTAATTATTTTGTCTTATTTTTTACAATAGGAATCATAATAAGGTACTGACATAATAACAGTAACACAGATCAATGGTAGATGTGAGAGTCCAGAAATAAACACTCAAATTTATGATTAACTGATTTTAAAGAATGGGATCAAGACAATTGAATGGAGAAAGGATAAAAGAATAATCTTTTCAATAAATGGTGCTGGGACAACTGGATAGCCACATGCAAAGAAAGAAGACTGAATCCCTAACTTACACCATACACAAAAATTAACCCAAAATGGATAAAAGAGCCAAATGTGTGAGCTAAAACTATAAAACTCCTAGAAGAAAACACAGGGGTAAATCTTCATTCTTGAATTAAGCCAATGACTTCTTATATATGACAACAAAAAAACTAAAGAAAAAATACGCTGGATATCATCAAAAAGTACCACTTTTGAGCTTCAAAGGACACTACCAAGAAAGCGAAAAGACAACTACAGAATGGCAGAAAAGTTTTGCAAATAATATACCTGATAAGGGACTGGTATCTAGAATATACAAAGAACTCTAACAACTCAATAATAAGACAAATGACGTAATTTTGTTTTTTTTGTTTGTTTGTTTGTTTGTTTGTTTCATTTATTTTTATTAGTTGGAGGCTAATTACTTTACATCATTGCAGTGGTTTTTGTCATACATTGAAATGAATTAGCCATGGATTTACATGTATTCCCCATCCCGGTCCCCCCTCCCACCTCCCTCTCCACCCGATCCCTCTGGGTCTTCCCAGTGCACCAGGCCCGAGCACTTGTCTCATGCACCCAACCTGGGCTGGTGATCTGTTTCACCCTAGATAATATACGTGTTTCGATGCTGTTCTCTTGAAACATCCCACCCTCGCCTTCTCCCAGAGTCCACAAGTCTGTTCTATACATCGGAGTCTCTTTTTCTGTTTTGCATATAGGGTTATTGTTACCATCTTTCTAAATTCCATATATATGTGTTAGTATACTGTAATGGTCTTTATCTTTCTGGCTTATTTCACTCTGTATAATGGGCTCCAGTTTCATCCATCTCATTAGAACTGATTCAAATGAATTCTTTTTAATGGCTGAGTAATATTCCATGGTGTATATGTACCACAGCTTCCTCATCCATTCGTCTGCTGATGGGCATCTAGGTTGCTTCCATGTCCTGGCTATTATAAACAGTGCTGCGATGAACATTGGGGTGCACGTGTCTCTTTCAGATCTGGTTTCCTCAGTGTGTATGCCCAGAAGTGGGATTGCTGGGTCATATGGCAGTTCTATTTCCAGCTTTTTAAGAAATCTCCACACTGTTTTCCATAGTGGCTGTACTAATTTGCATTCCCACCAACAATGTAAGAGGGTTCCCTTTTCTCCACACCCTCTCCAGCATTTATTGCTTGTAGACTTTTGGATAGCAGCCATCCTGACTGGTGTGTAATGGTACCTCATTGTGGTTTTGATTTGCATTTCTCTGATAATGAGTGATGTTGAGCATCTTTTCATGTGTTTGTTAGCCATCTGTATGTCTTCCTTGGAGAAATGTCTGTTCAGTTCTTTGGCCCATTTTTTGATTGGGCAAATGACGTAATTTTGAAATGTGCAAAGGACTTACATAGACATTTCGCCAAAGAGGGATACAAATGACCAATGAATACACGAAAAGATGCTCCACCTGCCTCACTGGGTTAGAGGAACTCCGACCATGGAAGAGTGTGTGCGCAGATGTCAGGGTGCCCAGGCACGGAACATCGAGGGCCAGGCCCACGCTGGCGGAGCCCCACTGCCGCCAGGTGCTGTCACCTGCTGACCCACCACGAATTAGAGCTCCAAGCAGAACCCCCAACTTTCCAACAGCCCATTGACAAGTGTAGTTACTTTCTTTCAATTTGTTCAGATTCCTTCCCTTAACACTGAACTGCACTCTCAGGAAAGACAGACTCCCAGCACCTTCTCTTTCTCCCAATCTCTAACTGTCCTTCTGAGACCATCATCAACCCCTCTCTCTGGGACACAGCTCCTGCAAAGTTTAATGGATAGGCGTTTATTTGTAAATGAAATGGATAAAGAAAAGACACTACAGAAGCAAAATTTTTAGAGTCCTAGAAAACTCTCCTACACATAAATCACAGCTAATCTGAATATTATTTGCCCATACTATGTATGATTCAAGAAACAACCACAAAATTAACTATAATCCCAGAACCCCATCAGTGAAAGGTTCTATTGTCATGTCCAACTCTTTGCAGCATGCTAGGCTTCCCTGTCCTTTACCATCTCCCAGGTTTGCTCAAACTCATGTCCATTGAGTTGATGCCTCCATCCAATCATCTCATCTTCTGTTGCCCCCTTCTCCTCCTGTCCTCAATCTCACAGTCCTCCTCTAACATTCCATCAATCTGGAAAACTCTAAGACTGACTGTGCTTAAGTGAAAGAGGAGAGTGAAAAAGCAGGCTTAAAGCTCAACATTCAGAAAGCTAAGATCATGGTATCTGGTCCCATCACTTCATGGCAAATAGATGGGGAAACAGTGGAAACAGTGGCTGACTTCATTTTGGGGGGCTCCAAAATCACTGCAGATGATGACTGCAGCCATGAAATTAAAAGACACTTACTCCTTGGAAGGAAAGCTATGAGCAACCTAGACAGCATATTAAGAAGCAGAGACATTACTTTGTCAACAAAGGTCCGTCCAGTCAAGGCTATAAGTAGTCATGTATGGATGTGAGAGTTGGACTATAAAGAAAGCTGAGTGACGAAGAATTGATGCTTTTGAACTGTGGTGTTGAAGAAGACTCTTGAGTCCCTTGGACAGCAAGAGATCCAACCAGTCCATCCTAAAGGAGATCAGTCCTGAGTGTTCATTGAAGGGACTGATGTTGAAGCTGAAACTCCAATACTTTGGCCACCTGATGCGAAGAGCTGACTCCCTGACACTGGGAAAGATTGAGGGCAGGAGGAGAAGGGGTCGACGGAGGATGAGATGGTTGGATGGCATCACCGATTCAATGGACATGAGTTTGGGTGAACTCCGGGAGTTGGTGATAGACAGGGAAGTCTGGTGTGCTGCGGTTCACGGGGCCACAAAAGAGTCAGACACAACTAAGCAACTGAACTGAACTGCCTGTGCTTATCTTTTAACTGAGTCAGCTACAAAAGGGACATGAGTTTCAAGGAAACACTCCAATTCCACAAAACAGCTCCTTATCTTGATCACACTCTGTCAACTGAAGGAAGGGCATTATCTAAGGAGAGATTACAAAGTATCCCCAATTATCCAAGACAAACCACTGAAAGATGACTAAGAAAATGTCTGTGATTAACTGGATATTGTAGATAACAGGTATCAAATTCTCCTGAATTAGAAAGACCTCTATATAGATAGACGACATCAAACATGTCAGATTCACACCTAGGGGACACAGAAACCAAAACAGGCTTCAGCATCTCAAAATAGCTCTCTGCAATTACCTCTAACATCCCAGATTACCATAAACTTTCTGTGTACAAGACAGGTGAAGGCCATGATACAGGGCAGTGGTTCTCTAAGTGGCAAGGGAGCACAGCTCTGCTGCCGAGACACCTGGCAACCACTGCAGACACTCCTGGCTGCCAGCCCTGGGGCTGCTCCCGGGCTCTCAGGGCAGAGCGCAGGGCTGTTCTAACTCGACGGTGCGAGGAGCACCCCCAACAGAGGATTCACTGCCGAGGCTGAGAAACACTGTTCTAGGGACAGTGACTCAAGGGTATGGCGCACGGGGAGGGCCAACTGCCCCTCAGAGACCGTCGCCTGACCCAAGAGGCAAGGCTCCCAGCCACCCTTCTCAAAGCACCCGCAGTCCAGGGCTGAGGCAGACCTTAATCCTCATCTGGGGGCCTGAGCCTCTCTTTTTCAGAAGACGAAGCTGGGGGTCACAGTGTAAAGAGCACAGGGCTGGTCAGTGGTGGAAGAGGAACTGGACTCTGCTCCCCTGTCAGTGCAAGCACGTGAGGGTGGGAATCAGGAGGTAGACGCACAGAGGGGCCAGGAGCAGCGCTGGTCACTGATACACGGGCACGCTGCTGTAAGCTCTGTGCAACTATTACATCCACGACAGATAAGCTGGAACCAGTCCTGCCACAGATTATCAACAATCAAAAACGTAATTTGGGGGAGTTCTCTGGCAATCTAGTAGTTAGGATTCAGCACTCTCACTGCTGGGCCTGGGTCCTCCCTTGTCAGGGAACAAAGATCCCACAAGTGTGAGGCATGGCAAAAAAAAAAAAAAGTAATTTTGATTCTTTAATCATTACCTAAGGGCTTCCCTGGTGGCTCAGTGGTAAAGAATCCACCTGCAGGAGACATGATTTTGATCCCAAGTCAGGAAGATCCCCTGGAGAAGAAACTGGCAACCCACTCCAGTATTCTTGCCTGGGAAACCCCATGGACAGAGGAGCCTGGTGGGCTACAGTCTATAGGGTCACAAAAGAGTTCGACACGACTTTAAGACTAAACAACAATCATTACCTAAGACTGCTTGAATGAATAAACCCAGAATTTAGAGACAAGGAGTGCAATTATGACTTCCAAATAGTCAAAAAGCAGAAAAGGTACTCAGAAAAATATGTTTTTCATTTGTAAGCTAAGCAAGTTAACCTTCACAGGGTTGTGATAACAATTTGCCATCTTCTTTTAAGTTCTATATTTCTCCATTTATAAAAGTTGTAGAAAACAGTCACACACCCTATGTTAAACAGGACCCTGGGTTACAATATGTTACCACTTACCCATAGTTCAGTAACACGCACAACAATGTGTAAGGTACTGAGCAGGCATTATAAAAACAGTGAGGAAAATAAAGTCCAGAGAGTTGATATCCCAGAAAGTGGGCTAGCTGGGCCTAAAAATCCATACTTTGTATTACTATTTATCTATTATTAACAGCAGTGACTATGGATAAGAAAAGTCCACTAAATTTCACAGTTTAAACCAATCTCTGACGGCCAGCTTTTGCTTAGGACACAGTAAACTGGAAACAGCGACACCTCCATTCTTTAAAAAGGGGCGGGGAGATAATTTGAAAAATCACAACTTATCCTGAACACATCCGAGTTGAGGCTGCAGAATCAACCGACTGACAGGGAAAACAAGAAAAGGCAGGGGCTACAAGGAGAAATGGGAGGCCAGCACCTGCTCCCCTAGGGTGGACACTGGACAGCAGACAGGCCAGCCAGGAAAATTCAACTAGAAGGTGTAGCAAGCTGCCAGATGAGCAGCTGCTTGGTGCTGCTGATGGTGGGCAGAGGGGCTGGCTGTGAAAGGAAGGAGGAGGGAGGGGGAGACAAGAGGGAGGCAATGGAACTTTTCCACATCTTCACTGTGGCAGTAACATGACTGCATGCATTTGTCAAAACTTGCAGGACTGCAACAAGGTGAAAAAAAAAAAGCTGTAATGGGCGAGTTTCCCGCAGGTAAGTTTAGAAGGCAGAGATCTATCTGACAGCTAACCAGGGCATCTGCTGCACTGCCTACTCCCCATGGAACAGTCTTGGTATCTGAGACACGGAAGGCCCTGAGGCCTCAGGAGAGCGGCAGTAAACACCAACACAAGCGCGTAAACATTTCATCATGTTCATCAGCCTGTAAGTGGAATGCAGACATGCCCACTCTGACTCTTCATGAGGACTCCTAAGTGAGCCACTCCAGACAGGGAAAAACAAAGCCAAGTTGAGCTTGTCTGCTGAGCAACAGGCTGGCCTTGCCCACTGGCCCATGACTTCACCACTGCACACCAGCTGGCAACTGAAGCAATTCAAAATCACAACTCAGCAGAATGGAAAGTCACATACATCACAGACTTTTGGAGTCATCTGCAAATAGCAGAAAATCTAATCATCAAATTTGCAAGTATTAAACATTCTGCTAAAAAAGAGACCCCAGGGACTTCCCTGGTGGTCCAGTGGCTAAGACTCCACACTCCCAATGTGGATGATCCAAGTTCCACCCATGGTCAAGGAACTAAACCCCTCACACTGCAACTAAAGATCCCATGTGCTGCCAAATAAATAAACTAACACCCGGGGCAGCCAAATACATAAGTATTTATTTAAAAAAGAAAAGAAGAAAAGATATCTTATAGCAATTTTAGAAGGTGGAGCAGTGCAAGCCTCAACCAGCTGAAGAGGCTATGATGAAAGTGCATGAGGCCGTCCTCCAGCAGACAAAGTGCCAGGGCAAATCAGGACTGGACAACACCCGGGTCTCAACATCTGCCCATGAAGAACATCACCGGCTCTTAAGGGCTTATGAAGAAATTGTCTACATGAGATCTACTGCATTAGGATTTCAGTAGATGAAGAAAAATAACATTTCCCCTCTATTTAAGAGCAGAGAATCACCCTAAGAGGAGCACAGCATACAGCAGATGAAAGAACAACGTAAAAAAGTAAGTCATAGCACTATAACTATTTCACTGACTTCAGAACAAAAAGCCTCAATACTCACTAGTATAAACCACGTTTCACTATATTAGCATTAATTATTTAGTCATCTGGCTTTATCCTTTACAGCAGTTTTGCCATTAGAATTCTATCTAATCATAACTATAATCTTTGGGGAAAATTCACCAGAGACAATTTAGATTTTTGGATTCTTTAATTACAGCAGCACAACAAGAGCACGAGCCTAACTGAGGCTCCGCTTCAGGCTTTTACTTTAGGGAGATGTCAGCAAATGACGATGACGTCAAACAGCAAGGAGCTAAACTACAGCTTTGACTTCTGTCAACATACGGAACTGAACAGAACATGCAGCGCCATCCTGTTTCCTAAGGTGAGCTGCTCATACTCACTGATGCTTACTTCTTAGAATCACCCGGGTGATGCTCCACAACACACACCTGGTCCCTACCCCGTCCACTGAGTCAGCGTCTCCAGGGCAGGAGCCTATCTGAACCAGAGAGTCATGCACACACACCCTGACTGTGATCACAGCTCTGGAATACATTCCGGAAAGTCACTATGTTCACAGGGAATTACTCACTTGTTACGATTCCGGCCAAAGCAAAAACAAATTGATTTTCATCAGAATCCAGCTCCTTAACATCCCCATCCAGTGATTTCACAAAACTCTCCATTGTTTGACCAGTGATGTTGAAAAACTTCAAAGCTTTATCCTGAAAGTTTAGAAATGAGAATGTCACAACCTTTCATGGCTACCAGCAGGAAAACACTTTTAAAGGGTAGGACACAGAAGAAAGACTCCAGTTTTAATTACAGAAGTAACACTTTAAAATCTGTTCCCTCATTAAAACTTCCTGTTGAAAAGATCAGAAAAAAAGAAGTTTGGGGCATGTAGAAAAATTACCTTGAAGACTGACATAGTAAAATAAAAATACATATGGGAAACAGTTCGAAATTATACAATGACGGAAGTACTTGGACAAATTCACCCCAAAATATACTAGAAATATACCAGAAAAATAGGTTATCTATTCTAGTCATGAAACCAGAGGTTTTCAAACCTTTGGCAGAAATTATTTTTCAAATAAAATCTTAAATGAAACCTCAACACATAAAAGACAGCAAACAGGCTCATCTGGCATTTAAGAGTCTTTGTGACCCCATGGACTGTAGCCCACCAGGCTCTTCTGTCCATGGGATTTCCCATGTCAGAAGACTGAAATGGGTTGCCCTTCCCTTTCCAGGGGATCTTCCTGACCCAGCGATCAAATCCGGGTCTCCTGCATGGAAGCCCATTTAAGTCTTCATTCCTCAGCAAAAAGTTTCCAAGTTCACAGAGCCTTGAAAGCACTTCCTTGGGGGAAGGAGGAGGAGGAGGCAGAGTTCTAAGAAACAGTCTGAAAACAAGAGCCTGTACAATGGCACAAGGGAACTACACGAGGTCATATAAATATCCTTACTGGATTGTGGAGATATTACACACCTCCAAAAATTAGCTGAAGAACACTAAGTTGTACACTTACAATAAATGAATTTTATGATACATAAGTTATACCTAAAGAAAGCTCAATAAACTTTAAAAGACACTTAGTCCCTCCACCGTTTCTGTCTCTACAAGTGACGAGTAAGTACTACACCGGCCCTCCCACCAACCATCCACCCTGGGTATTTATTTCCATTCAGGACCACATGATCCCCCAGAGTCAGAGCACAGTCTTCCTGGGCTATCATCCTCTTGGTTGAGGAGGCCATCCTGTCACCAGTCCTGCCTTCAACCACACAGCTCTCTCACTTCCCATTCCCCATTCTATCACTTGGGGGGGAGCGGGGAGGGGCGGCTCCAATGTTGTTTTCCTGGCCAGTCTCCACATCCACAGCCTCACCCTCCCTCCATCCTCATTCACTGTCAGGTTAAGCTGCCCAAATTCTCTTGTCACTTTTTCATTCAAAAAGCCTTAAGGAATCCTGTCCCAGAGGCCTTAAGGAATCTGTCCCAGACTGCTCCATCAACACACTAACCCCTACCCTGTGTCAGGAGACACACACTGTCCCTGCGTCTCACTCCAGGCCTGAGTACCCTTCTCTCCTCCGGAGCCACCCTCCTCACTTCCTGTTACTGCTGCTGTGCCAGTGAATCAAGGTTCACTTCAAAGCTCTCTTCCTCTGTGAAGTTCCTTGACATGTGTGTGCATATGCTATTAACATCTATTTTATATAAACATATATGATAAATAACACATGGGCTTCCCTGGTGGTGCAATGGTAAAGAATCTGCCTGCCAATGCAAGAGACGCAGGTTCGATCCCTGGGTCAGGAAGATCCCCTGGAGAAGGAAATGACAACCCACGCCAGTATTCTTGCCTGGGAAATCCCATGGACAAGGGAGCCTGGTGGGCTACAGTCCAAGGTACTGCAAAAGAGTTGGACATGACTCAGCAACCAAACAACAACAAAATACAACATTCGGGCAATGAACTATTATATTATGCCTGGAAATAAGGTATGTAAAAGCACTTTACAGTCTGCGACATGTACATAGATGAAGTAGAGCTCCCTCCACCACACCATGCAGACTCTGGATGCAGACTCTGGGGCAGAAGGGCGCTCACTCCCTTTATCTGACGCCCCAGGTCCAGGTTACCGCGGACCCTGCACAGCTGTGATTCCACAACTACCTGGCGTGCAAAACGAGCGGGTCTAGTCTGTGGGCGCCCCAACAGAGGCACGGCGCTTTCTGCGTGACAGCAGCGCAACTCCCTTGCCCAGCCGCCCCGCAGTGCGCTCACCCCTCCCAGGATGGCCTTGACCACCTCCTCGCTGCTGGAGACGCCCCACAGGATGGTGCAGGCCGCAGCGCCCATCTCCGTGCAGTACTCGGCCTGCTGCAGCAGCTGCTGCTTGGCCTCGTTCAGCTGCTGTCGAAGAGCCAGCTTCTCCTGAAACCAAAACAGGGTGAGATCAGATAAACGGACAGCATGTGGCCTCAGAGCGCCTCTACTGCATTCCCCCTCTTGAAGACATTCTTAAAGAAATGAAACGAACACGGGATATGATAAACAGCTGGCCAATGAAAACTAGCCCAGGGTGAGGCACAACCCATATTTTTTTAAGGGCAGGGGCAAAAAGAACACTCTAAGAACATGCCCCTGAATTGCAGTTTGTAAATACTGCCAAAGACATGAATTCAACTTCATCTAAGTCAGATGGGAAACGCAGCATCTCAGCATACAGTGGGTATACCCAGGACAGGACACCTGAAGAAAGTAACAAGCCAACACAAAAGTTCTCTCATAGAGAAGTATTTCTAATGTAAAAACTCCAGGTGACACAGTCAAGACCAGGCAGGAAAGATGGGAGCAGAAGGAGGAGACGAGTGAGGTGGAAGGGCCTCCTGGGCGTGCCCTTGACCCAGCAAGCTAAGCCCAGAGTCACAGGAAGATGGAGCCCAGAATTCTCAGTCTCCCACAGCCCCCAAAGGAACAGTCAGCCAGGGTTTTTACCAAGGCAGCCGTCTCCCTGACGTTGCCTCTGTCCACACAAGCATTCCTAAAGGTTCACCTTCAGGAGAATCGTGGCTGATGTGGGCCTTCCCACCCTCCCCAACCATCAATGGTGGTGTCACTCTTCCATGTTTCCTGAGGTTTCCTGACTCAAGAAGTGTTAGTCACTCAGTTGTGTCCAACTCTTTTGAGACCCCATGGACTGTAGCCCGCCAGGCTCCTCTGTCCTAGGATTCTCCAGGCAAGAATGCTAGAGTGGGTTGCCATGCCCTCTTCCAGGGGATCTTCCCAACTCAGGGATCGTATCCAGGTCTCCCACACTGCAAGAGGATTCCCTACCATCTGAGCTACCACACAGTCATATTTACTTGAGAAAAATGTTCCCTGAGCCTAGGACACTTGCTAAAACTGCTTTATGTGATTTATTAACTCTAGGTCTTTAATATCTGCCTTCATCAGGACAGAAGCCTGGTTCCTAAATGTGCATTTCAGCCACTCAAGCTGTGGTGACATAGGCAAACACTGATTCACAGCCTTTCCTTCAGAATTCCAGCTTTTCTCACAACTGAAGCAGGATGCACTGTGATTAGTCTGGTTATCTTGGCTCTTCTGTAAGATCAACAAGAACTGTTGGGAATGACCATCAGAACTGTCTTCTGTGGTCACATCTGGCGGTTGCAGGCAGATATGCCCTGACACAGGGCTGTACAAACTGTACAAGGATATCCAGAACTAAAAGAAAATAATCCCATTCACAATAACACTCACCTTTCATCTAGAATATATCAAGAACACTTTATCTTTTAATTAATTTATTTTTAATGGAAGGATAGTTGCTTTACAACACTGTGTTGGTTTCTGCCAGACATCAGCATGAATCAGCCATAGGACACATATGCCCCTTCCTCCTGAACCTCTTTCCCACCCCCCACACGACCCCACCCCTCTAGGTTGTCACAGAGCACCGGGTTGAGCTCCCTGTGTCACACAGCAAATTCCCACTGGCTATCTACTTTACAAGCAGTGATGTATATGTTTCCACGCTACTCTCTCCACTTGTCCCACCCTCTCCTTCCCCAACTGTGTCCAAAAGTCTGTTCTCTATGTCTGGAACTCCACTGCTGCCCTGAAAATAGGCTCATCAGTATCACCTTTCTAGATTCCATATATATGTGTTAATATACAATATTTGTCTTTCTCTTTCTGAATTACTTCTCTCTGTATAATAGGCTCTACATTCCTCCACCTCTTTAGGGCTGACTCAAATGTGTTCTTTTTTATAGTTGAGTAATATTCCATTGTATATATGTACCATGATTTCTGTATCCATTCATCTGTCGATAGACATCTAGATCACTTCCATGTCCTAACTACTATAAATAGTGCTGCAATGAACACTGGGGTACATGTGCTTTTTTCAATTATGGTTTCTTCAGGGTATATGCCCAGTAGTGGAATTGTTGGCTCATATGGTAGTTTTATTCCTATTTTTTTAAGGAATCTCCATACTGCTCTCCATAATGGCTGTATCAGTTTACATTCCCACCAAAAATCCAAGAGGGTTCCCTTTTCTCCATACCCTCTCTCCAGCATTTATTGTTTGTAGATTTTTTGATGATGGCCATTCTGATCAGTGTGAGGTGATATCTCATTGTAGTTTTAATGTGCATTTCTCTAATAAAGAACAATGTTAAGATGAAAACACATCTTTTCATGTGCTTATTAGCCATCTGGATATCTTCTCTGGATAAATCTTTTTAGCTCTTCTGCCCAATTTTTGATTGGGTTGTTTCTTTTTCTGGTATTGAGCTCCATGATCTGCTTATATATTTTAGAGATTAATCTTGTCAGTTGTTTCACTTGCTATAATTTTCTTCCATTCTGAGGGTTGTCTTTTCGTCTTGTTTATAGTTTCCTTTGCCATGCAAAAGCTTTAAGTTTAATTAGGTCCCATTTGTTTATTTCTGTTTTTATTTCCACTATTCTAGGAGGTGGGTCATAGAGGATCTTAGTATATATCAAGAACTCTTCAAATTTAACAGTTAAAAAAAATCCAACTAGAAAATGGGAAAAGACATAAACAGATACTGTATAGGAGAGAATATATAGACAACAAATAAGCACATGAAATGATGTTCAGCATTATTAGCCAACAGGGAAATGCAAATTAAAAATTACAACATATCTATCAGAACAGCTAGAATAAAAAACAGTAAGAACACCAAATGCTAATCAGGATGTGGAGGAAGTGAATCACTCAGCACTGCTGGTGATGATATGAAACGGTATGACCACTCTGAAAAACAACTGGGTAATTTCCTACAAAATTGAACATGCACCTACCATGCAACCCAGTAATTGCACTCTTGGGCATTTAGCCCAGAGAAATGGAAACATACGTTCACACAAAAACCTACATACAGATGTTCATAATATCTTTATTCACAATACCGAAAAAAAAAAAAAAAAGGAAATAACACAAATGTCCTTAAATGGGAGAATATTTAAACTGTGATATTTGTGAGGTTAATTTCTGATTGTAACTGAACTATATTATCAGTTAATTTTTCTTTAAAAATTTTCCTGAAATAATATACAATGTTTGCAACAACTTCCCGTTTATTACCAGAAAAGTAGTGACTCTTTCCTAACAGGTTAAAAATTAAATATAGATAACCAAAACTATATTTCATGACTGCAGCCATGAAAGACACTTGCTCCTTAGAAGAAAAGCCATGACAGGCCTAGACAGCGTATTACAAAGCAGGGATATTACCTTGCCTACAAAGATCCATATAGTCAAAGCTATGGTTTTTCCAGCAGTCATGTTTGGGTGTGAGAGCTGGACAATAAAAGGCTGAACATTGAAGAATTGATGCCTTTGAACTGTGGTGCTGGAGAAGACTCCTGAGAGTCCCTTGGACTGCAAGGAGATCTAATCAGTCAATCCTAAAGGAAGTCATCCCTGAATATTCATTGGAAGGACCAATGCTAAGGCTGAAACTCTAATACTTTGGTCACCTGATGCAAAGAACTGACTCACTGGAAAAGAACCTGATGCTGGGAAAGATTGCAGGCTGGAGAAGGGGACAACAGAGGATGGGGTGGTTGGATGGCATCACTGACTCGATGCCCATGAGTTTGAGCAAGCTCTGAGAGTTGGTGACGGACAGGAAAGCCTGGCATACTACAGTCCATGGGTCACAAAGAGTCAGACACGACTGAGCTACTGAACAGCAACAATAAACCAAAACTAGCAGTCTAAACTTAAGTTGGTTTACTATGAAAGATGCCACCCTAAGAAAACACACCAAAAATGAAGCCATAAGTAAGCCACAAACACGCAGCTCCTTGGAAGGAACACGGGGGACTCTGTCCATTGTCTGTGACCAGTCCACACGCACTCGTGGAAGCACAGTCAGGTACTAAAATCTCAGCCAGCAGAGACATGTGGGAAGCCACAGCTGGCTTTATAACAACAGCACAAGCCTTCCAAGTCATTCAGAGAGATATCCCCCAACAATTCACTGGCTCTTTCTTCTCTCAAGTTCAAAGGCTGCCACTGCCAGAACTCTCCCAGCCCGCCTCCTAGATCACATCAAGGCCCATCCAGGCTCCTCCACTGACCCCACTGAGGCAACACCTCAACAGGGCGTATAAGCCAAACTTTGCTGGTCCCTGGGACTAAGCTCTGGGGGTCAGCGCACATCTTTAGAATTCTGAGTCCACACTCTGACTTCTGGTCTTTCCTTACATGCTGGTTTGAGTGACGTCTGCATTCTCCCCATGACTTTCCCTCAGACTGAAGTCTTACCAGCAATGCTCTAATTCAGGATCCTGTCCTGCATTCTTTCCTGGTTCCTCAACTCTAAAATAAGCCTGCAGAGTCTAGCTGCACGATCTGCTCAGCCCTGGGCAGAAAAGGCAGCGGCCAGCTCCCTACAGCAGGAAGAGACAAGCCCTATCACAGCACACTCGCAGGGCCTCCCACCCTTGTTAAACAGGAGGGACTATTAAACAGGAAACTTAACTGGAAATAGTTTAACCTAAAATATGCCCACATTTTAACTAAGGTCAAAGTGTCTGGGCAGAACCATGCTGTGACCTGACACTACTTGACTGCAGCCATTTGTCCTTTATTCTGGCACTTTCCCAGGGTGGCTTATTTTTAGTATAACATCTAAAATGCCAGCAAAACATGTATTTTTTCCTATGTTTATCAATTTAAGAAATAAGAAATCTAAGATTCTGCCCAATTTAAGCTTCAGCCTTAGCAAAGATGTCCTGGCATTTTAAGGAGTACTGAACCAGTAGATTGCATTGTACACATTTATCCAAATCCTGCAGGTCAACTGCTTTTAGACAATGAAACTTTTAGGTCCAGACAAATTAATCATGCATCCATCTTAGTCTATCAAGATCTAAATCGAGTGTGACTGAGCTACAATGTCAGCTTTCGATAAGTGACACACAACCTAACAGTTTTGAGACTGAAACTCTTTCCCTGATCTTCCCTAGTTATTTGATATTAAAGTCTATCAGTCTGCAAGGACGTCATTATTGAGCAGTCAAGGAGAAAAACTACCAGGGCTTCCAGTTCTTTGATGAAACTTTAGACGCACAGTCTTATGGCCAAGCGTCTGCGACCCCACATTGTTGGAGCACTCGCTGTAACCCGGGAGTTGCAGCTTTCTGTAAGCTTGCTTTGGCTGAACCACAAAAGAAGGCATATGCAGAAATTTCTACAGATATTCCATAAAAGACTTTGCAGCAACGAGGAAGGCTGCTATCTTTCAGAGTGCAATGTGATTCTGGAATGTAAGGAATGTCTCTGGGTTGAGTTCCACGCAAGTTTGTCACTTACCTGTATTCCTGAACTATGAAATTATGAATATCTGGGCTAAGGAACAGTTATTCTTGATAAATAAACAATTAAGCACTGTGGGGAAAAAATGAAGTCTATACAAAACCCATCAGCTTGGGGAACCCTCCACTTTAGCCACAGACACTTAGAACTGGTCCACAGAAGGAGGAGTGTGAGGCAGAGCAGAGCACACAGGCAGTGGGACCCAGCCTGGCTCCCAACATCTCTCCAGGCTCCCAGCACCTGCTGACCCAGCTGTGCTGCAGAAACCCGCACGGACAGTCGTGACACCTCCCAGCACACAGGTAACACAGGTAACAGCACGTCCTCGATGCCATCACCAGTTTCCACTGTACTGTTCAAAAATAAAAGTAAAATCAAGCGCCAAATCTCAGCAGAAGTGGCCAAACAGCTCTAGCTTTATAGAAGAGGAAATAACTTTTTCCATGAAAAGAAAATGTATAGTTTTTAAGAAATATTCTTAGTCTCCCCAAATATTAAAATGAAATGCAACTGGTTATTTCCAAACTATCAGAAGTGACCTCCTAATTATAGATATTTCTATTTATATATCTAACTCTGATTACAAGTCATTACATGCATGATTGTTTCCGGATTATTATATTATGAATTTTAATGACTTGGATTGGTCTTTTAACACAGGAATTAACAGCAAGTGCCTATCGAAAGGCACCAAGTAGACAGCCTCCATGTTACATGGTTGTCAAATCCAAATGATCAACTGTTTTCCAACCCATTCAGAATAAATACATTTAAAAATACAGTGTCTTGAGGCGTAATTGCTAGACTGTGGCCACAAGCATGGTGCGGGTGCTTCCCGTGGCCTGGTGAGCATCGTACCTTCTTCTCCCTCACGCTGTCCACTTGCATGGACTCCAGGCGGGCTCTGAAGTGCTCACAGTCCATCCTCAGTTGCTCTGACTCCTGCTCCTTCCTCTCCAGGTCTACAAGAGACACAAGAATACTCAGTATTTCAAGTCACTGATCTCTTCTGACCATGCATTTTGCTTAATTTTCTCTTAGGAAAGCCTGATTGCTTAGGTAGGATTACTCACATAACCAGTGCTGGGATAACTAACATTCTAACGTCCTGCTTTTTAAGTTTTTGTCACCTTTTTGCCCATAGCAGAAAGCACCTTGGTTTCTGCTTAACGTTTTTAAGACTTCATTTCACTGCCAGACTTGCACTCAAGGTTTTAGGAAAGTGTGTTGTTTAAAGGAGTGCGGGCAGGGCTGGGCAGCCCGACTGTCTCGTGGCACACACTCATATGTGCTCCATAAAAAGCAGAAGGCAGTTCAGCAAGGAGATGGTGCCAGCCAGGCTGATTCACACACTCGTCTCCCCCGCTGGCAGACTGGCTCCACGACAACAGCGGCCGCCGTTGTCAACGGCGCAGTGAGGCAACAGCCAGAGAGGAGAGCGGAAAAGGCCACAGCGAGAGGCGGGGAGGAGGGCGCGCTTCCTCACCACCGCACTCGCCCAGATGGCGAGCCACTCGGTCCACAAAGCTCCCAAACGACACCCGTGCTTGTGAATCTGAAATCAACCAGATAATCACGTTTAAATACAAACCAGTGTGCTACAGAAATTCTGACATTCACAACGCCAAGAAAACAGGTAACTCAGAGTTTTAAGTGCCTCCAGTGAACCATCATTGATCTCCGTTTGCCAGGGCCCGGGGCTCAGGGTCGGGGGGTCTCGCTTCACTGACACGCAGCACAGCATGCTGATGGCATGCTCACTGACATCTGCACAGAGTCGCGGTCATCAGTACGAGGCTGCATTCGGGGTAAACCTTTCTTGAATACTGGTTTTAAGTAAAGAAATTTAAATGGCTCATTAGTCTGCTAATTGGTTGCCTATGAAAACACAGTCTATTATTAAAGCATTAACCATTTAAAAAACAAAAAAGCTTTAAGTGCCTTGATCCCAAAGACTAAGATATCACGTTTCAAAGCTAACATACAAAACCTGAGTGGACGTGTGCTCAGAGCTACGGGTGTAACTTCACTGAAGTAGGAACACTTTGGGACATTGATTCTCAGAATTTACAGCACATCAGAATTCCCTGGGAGTGAAATCACTCAGTTATGTCTGACTCTTTGCGACCCCAGGGACTGTAGCCCACCAGGCTCCTCTGTCCATGGAATTCTCCAAGTAAGAATACTGGAGTGGGTTGCCATTTCCAGTCACAGAGTCACGGGGTCACAGAGTCAGACACGACTGAGCAACTGGCACTTTCATCACATTTTCCGGAGAGCCTTTGCCAGAGCAGGAGATTAAAACCTAAAGCTAGATATTCAGTTAATGATTGTGCAGCGGCTGGCAAAGTTTCTCTTAAAATAAGTTTCTTAGACGGGTGAAACAGCATGGGACCCCTTCTTCTCCTTCACAGTTCTCTGTTCTGCCCTTTTAGGATATATCATGCACAATATGACTTGCACTAGAAATCTTTATTTTGTCCCACTAGTCCTTAAACCAACTATACTGATCAAGTGCTATGCTTTGAAAACTACATATCTGCATTTTTTAACAATGTTAAACGAAACCATAGATAATTATGAATGAAATGTGAACTGCAAATGGTCGCAGACAAAAAAAATGAAAAAAAAAACTAAGATAAAATTATTAATGGCATAAAACTTTTTCTTTGCAGTTAACTTTTAATGTTTTCTTCTATTACTAAACTGTATATTCCTCAAACACGGTAAAGAAGATAGGAAATCACACTCCTACAAGTCTTACATGTAAAACTATGGAGGAATTAAGACCACTCAGAAGACTCTATAATAATGTCATAATCTCTCACTCTACAAACTGCTAATGACTTTACTGTACGTTAACACAACAAAAGGATGCGGTTAAACCGTCCCACTCGACCCCACAGTATTCAAAAGCTGTGTCAGGGCTGCCACCCACCCACTCCCAGCTCTCAGGAGGAGGCCGCCACCTGGTGGCCAGACTGGAGCACTGCCGCCACCTCCTGACAAAACTCGCTTGTGCAGCTTGGCCCCTAAAGCATGCATCCTAAAGGGCATCCTCCTGTGTGCTGGTAATCCCACATACTTAGAACATGTGCGACATGCCTAGGACATGGCACCTGGTGGCACTTTATAAACATCTGTCACGTAAACGAACTTCATTTCTTTATATAGTCTTCTGCTAATCCTTGAATAGAGAAAAAGCTCAGCTATGTTATGTCTCATTCTCTACAGTTTTTTTTTTTTTTAAATCAGACAGAGAAATAATACACTAATACATACAGTGCATTATATGGTCTTCCCTGGTGGCTCAGTGGTAAAGAATTTGCCTGCCAATGCAGGAGACAAGGGTTCAAACCCTGGGTCGGGAAGATCCACTGGAGAAGGAAATGGCAACCCACTCCAGCATTCTTGCCTGGGAAACCCCATGGACAGAGGAGCCTGCAGGCTACAGTCCATTGGGACACAAAGAGTTGGACAGGACTTAGAGATGAAACAACAGCACGTAATGGTCAAGACACTATCTTACCCAGTCTCAGTCTAGAGCACGAACGAGGCTGCCACCCAGCTTAGACGGGGTCCATCTGCTGAGCTGCAGCATTCAAAGTGAAGGAGGAAGAATCCGTCAGCCCCTGACTGAGTTAAAGGGCAGCCAAGACGACGGGCGCACAGGAACGGTCTCACAGGCCATTTCAGCATTGACTCATCTCCGGAGACCCAGAGTTCTCTTTGATAGCTTTAATAACATGAGACTGACTATCAGCTCACTCACAGGAAGGATACAGAGAGGCTACAGTCCATGGGGTGGCAGAGTCAGACACCATCTCGTCTCCTAGTAAGAGTCCATCCTTACCATGAGCCAAGATCTGGATGATGTATTAGTTCCCTAGACCTACCCGAACAAAGCCCACAGACTGGGTGGCTTAGACCAGAAATCCATCCTCACGTTGTTCTGGAGGCTGCAGCTCAGAATTGAGGTGTCAGCAGAGACATACTTGCTCTGAAACCTGTGGAGAAAGGATCCTTCCCTGCTTCTCCCACCTACTGGTGGCCCAGGCGTCCCTGGGTTGTGGCAGCGGAATCCCACCCGCCTCCCCTTTGCCTGGCCTCATCTCCTCACAACACCTTCCCTCCGTGTACGCCAGCTTCGGTGTCCAGTTTTCCTCTTTTAATAAGGATACCAGTCACACTGGACTAGGACTTATTCTAAACACTTCATTTTAACCTAATTAGCCTGTCAAAATATTTAAGTTGAAAAAGTGAAAAAATGAGAATATTCTATGTTTCATTAAAAAAAAAACCCTCAGTTAAAGAGTTTAAATGCATTTCTAGCCAAACAACATTTTAATTGGCTATCCAATTTTTTAAACAAACCAAAAGGAGTAGGGGAGGAGAGCTGGAACAAGAATATGGAAGCAGCATTTTTTTCTTCCTGTGCTGCCAAAAATCTGCTGCTTTTTCTAACGTAAAGGCCACTGGAGCACTGTTTCCTAAGAAGAAGAAGACGTGACTAATACAAATCTCTCCTGGGCTGGTGCCGCCACTGTACTTGGCACTATCTTTTCGCATCTCCACTCAGAAGCTCCTCAGTCTACTTGTGAATTACCAAGGAACGGGATCTGACTTTATCCTGTGTATATCCCCAGGTCACCTAGCAGAGCTTAACAAATACCCAGCATACAATGAATACCTACCTGATTGAATATCAACTTAATTCTATCAAAAAAAGCTAGGATCAATCTTGTTGAACTCAAATGAATTCTGATAAAGTGTTTGCCTAAGCAAAAAGTTAGGGACTTTTGCTTTTTTCATTTATTAGCATAAAGTATGTTAATAACTGGGTAGTCAGGAGTGATCTGAAAGCAGAGAAGAACTAAAGAGCCTCTTGATGAAGGTGAAAGAAGAGAGTAAAAAAAGGCCAGCTTAAAACTCAACATTCAAAAAAACTAAGACCACGGCATCCAGTCCCATCACTTCATGGCAAATAGATGGGGGGAAAGTGGAAACAGTGACAGATTTTATTTTCTTGGGCTCCAAAATCACTGCAGACAGTAATTGCAGCCATGAAATTAAAAGATGCTTGCTCCTTGGAAGAAAAGCTATGACAAACCTAGACAGCATATTAAAAAGCAGAGACATCATTTTGCCAGCAAAGGTCTGTATAGTCAAAGCTATGGTTTCTCCAGTAGTAACGTACAGATGTGACAGTTGGACCATAAATAAGGCTGATCACTGAAGAATTAATGCTTTCAAATTGTGGTGCTAGAAAAGACTCTTGAGAGTCCCTTGGACTGTAAGAAGATCACACCAGTCAACCCTAAAGGAAATCAACCCTGAATATTCATTGGAAGGACTGATGCAGAGGTTCCAATACTTTGGCCACCTGATGAGAAGAGCTGACTCATTGGAAAAGACCCTGATGCTGGGAAAGACTGAGGGCAGGAGGAGAAGGGGGGCAACAAAGGATGAGATGGTTGGATGGCATCACCAACTCAATGGACAAGAATCTGAGCAAGCTCTGGGAGATAGTGGAGGACAAGGGAGCCTAGCATGCTGCCATCCATGAGGTTGCACAGTCAGACACAACTGAGCAACTGAACAACAAGTCTCTACTGCTTCCACCTTGGCTAGCTGTCTGCTCCTCAGCCCATAAGCCCCCAACAGTCAATTTTCTCCTTTCCCATCCCGTGTATTCCAGACAGTCCCCACGTGCCCTTCAGATCTGTCCAACCTGCTATGGCCCAACAGGTAAGAGGCTTGAAGTTAACGTCCATAGCAGCCAGCCTCCCTTGCTTATGGATTCCTGTTGAATTTGGAAAGTAGGCCTCCCCCAGGAAATAGAACAGGAGGCAGGTCGGGACATCTGCTTCCCCACTACATGGCCCCTGCCAGGTTCAAGCAGCTGAGGCTCTGGACATGCCAAGCACTCACCGTCCTGCCAGCCTGCCCGCTCTCTGGCAGG